AAGGTGTATATATCTACCTCATACTTTTCTTAAACAACTTCATCACATCTACAGGACAAATAATTCATAATTCATGAATGATTTCCATTTTACTGGACACTTTAACTTGTAATTTTTTATTATTATTCATGATATTGCAAGAAACACCCTTTATATAGTTTACATACTTATTTCTGAACATATGTGGTTATTTGATTGGATATATTTTAGAAGTAGAATTTGAGCATTAGGAAAAGTGCATGTTTACAATTTTTTAATTGAGATATAATTGATATATAACATTATATTAGTTTCAGGTGTACAACATAATTCAATATATGTATATATTCTGAAGTGACCCCCACAATAAGTCTAGTTAATATTCATCATCACACAGTTACAGTTGTTTTTCTTGTGATGAGAACTTTTAAGATTTACTATCAGCAACTTTCAAATATACAATATAGTTTTATTACCAATATGCTTTATATTATAACCCTGTGATTTATTTATGTTATAGCTGGGAGTTTGTACTTTTTAACTCACTTCATCCATTTTTCCCACCCCTCACTTCCCCATGTCTGGTAACTACCAATCAATTCTCTGTATCCATGAGCTTGGTTTTTGTTTCTTTACTGTTTTTTTAGATTTCACATATAAGTGAAATCATATGGTATTTGTCTTTCTTTGTCAGACTTATTTCACTTATCATGATGCCTTCAAATTCCAACCATGTTATTGCAGCTCTAGGATTCTTTTTTTAATTGATTTGAAAGAGAGAAAGAGATGCATTGACTTGTTGTTCCACTTATGCATGCATTCATTGGTTGATGCTTGCATGTGCCCTAACTGGGAATTGAGCCCACAACCTGGGGGTATACAGATGACACTCTAATCAACTGAGATACCCCACCAGGACTCAACTTCACTCTTAATAGTAGCAATGCAAACTACACAGAGGCCATTTTTTGAAACAGCTTGAGATATATTGAGATATAGTCCATAAACCATAATTCACCTATTTTAAGTGTTTAATTCAATGGTTTTAGTACAGTCACAGAGTTGTACAACCATCACCACAATCTATTTTAGATTGTGTTCATCACCCCCTAAAGAAACACTATAACCTTTAGATATCATTTCCAATCCTTCCCTATACCTTAACCTTAGGCAACCACTAATCTACTTTCTGTATCTATAAATTTGCCTATTCTGGACATTTCATTCAAATGAAATCATATGATATGTTGTTTTTTGTGACTGATCTCTTCCACTTAGCATGTTTTCAAGGTTCATCGTGTTGTAGCATGTATCAGTACTTTTACTGATTTTTTCTGGTTAAATAATGTTATTCCATTGAATTAATATACCACATTTTGTTTATACTTTCATCAGCTGATGGGCATTTTGGTTATTTCTGTCTTTTTGGTGGAATGATGCTGCTATGAGCATTTGTGTACAAATTTTTGTGAGGACATATATTTTCATTTCTCTTGGGTATATCCCTAAGAGTGACATTGCTGGGTCAAATAGTAACTTTATGTTTCAGTTTTTCAGATACTGCCCAACTGTTTTCCAAGGTGGCTGCATCATTTAAAATTGCTACCATCAGCAGTGTATGAGGGCTCCTCACCAAAATATCTATCTATCTTTTTTATTATAACCATCCTAGTGTATGTGAAGTGATATCTCTGTGGTATCTCATTTGCATGAGACCATTTTTTACCTATCATATTGGTGAAGATCAAATTTTGAAGGAAAAAAAAAAAAAGAAACCCGCAAGGATGGAGAATATGTTGGGGGAAAACAGGCACTGGCCTACATGGCTGGTAGGAATGTGAATTCGTGCACCCCCTACGAAGGCCTATTGGCTTTTCTGTCAGAAATTGAAATGCACGTACCCTTTGAGTTAATAATTCCTCTTCTAGCAATTTGAACTTGAGATTGCCTGCACATGGAAATGTGGAAATTGATTTATGTACAGGGGTTTTCACAGTAGCATTGTACCAATTTCCATATATATGGGATTGGTTCTATAAGTGATACAGTGGTACACTTTAAAAGGATGAGGCAATTTTATATGTACTGATATGAAATTATTTCCGAGATATATGGTATGTGAAAAGAAGTGGGGTGCTGGGCAATGTTCTTCTATGCTATCATTTTGTAGAAAAAATAAGAATGATACCTATTTGCATGTATATGTCTAGAATATCTATGAAAGAATGCGTAAGAAACTAAGAGTAGCTGTCCCTGCAGAAGGGAATCAAATAGCTGGGAAAGGGTGGAATGGAATTTCTAAGTAATATTTCTTTCTTTCTGTATGTTAAATTTTTTGAACTGTATGTATGCTATAGTTACTTTATACATAATCTTTACTTAAAATTTTCTACATAAGGTCTGGCTTTATTTATTATGTTAATTCCAACATTATTGTTCATTGCTATTATGAATGAAATAAAAATTTTTGAGAGTATGTTTATTAAGGCTGAGGACAGTGAAACAAGGAAGGGCTCAGGATAGAAGAAGCAACAGGAGAGAGACTAAGTGAGGCTCCTTTGGCTCTAGAAATGTTATGGAAGAGAAGCAGCCCAAGGTAGTGCTGCTGTCAGCTCACTGGGGAGTCAGAGAAAAGAGGACCTTGGGGACAGGTTCAGGGGGTTAGTTCAGGATAAGCTGCTGCTGCCCATTGCTCCCCGTATATTGCATTGTGTGCCCACCACCCAAAGTCAAATCATCTTCTGTCACCAAATATTAAATGAAATCTTTTGATTATGCTTTCTAATTAGATATTGCTGGAATTGAGAGACAGTAATAATTTTTCTATACTGATCTTGTTCTGGTAAATTATTATAACAACCTTGTATAATAGTTTATCTTATTGGTTATGATAGTTTACCTTGTGTTTTTTTTTAAATAATTGTGTCACCTAAAAATAATGAAAGCATTTGTCTCTTCACTTCTAATTCTTATACTTCTTATTTGTTTTTATTGTCTTATTGTGTTGGTTTGGTAGAATTTTTCCTTTTCCCATTTTCACTAACAGGACAACCTTGGTTCATAGGATTATTCAAGTTCTCCCTCACACATGGGCTGAAACTGTTTGCTGTTCTTCTCAAAAGTACTAAAACTCCTGTGCCAAAGGTCTCTATTTCCTGTTCTGTTTTAGCTCCTACTTCATGCTCTTAGTTTAGGCCTCTCTTCATTTCTGGCAAGTGGGGTTGTTCTTTCTTGCTTTTGGCTTGGCTATGTACTTTAAACAATTTTTTAAATATTCATAATTTCTACATGTTTAGGGTTAGAAACCACTTCCTATATCAGCTTCTATACTATCATTTTTAAGTATATTTTTTATTGATTTCAGAGAAGAAGGGAGAGGGAGAGAAAGATAGAAACATCAATGATGAGAGAGAAATACTGATCGGCTGCCTCCTGCATGCCCCCCACTGGGGATCGAGCCCACAACCCAGGCATGTGTCCCAACCGGGAATCGAACCGTGACCTTCTGGTTCATAGGTTGACACTCAACCACTAAGCCATGCCAGGTGGGCTCAGCTTCTATATTATTATCTGAAAGTTTCCACCTGCTAAGGACAGTATGTTTGTGTCACCCCCAAATTCATGTTATGGCGTTGGAGGTGGGGTCTTTGGGATGTTATTAGGTTTGGATGAGGTCATGGGGGTGGAGTCCCTATGGTGAGATTGAATAGATCCAAACTCTTCCTTCTCATTGTGAGGAAACCAAGAAGAGTAAAATTGACTTAGAGTTAATTTTGTTTTTCGTCCCTCCTTAACTTTTGCTTGGTTGTCAAATTCTTTTAACCTTGCCACTTTGATATTCTTATTACTTCTTTCATCACTACTAGCATCCTAATTCAGGTCTTCATTGCCTTTGTATTATACTCCTAATTACTCTTTTGTCAATTTAACTTTCCTGAAACCCATATTTATCTATTCAACCATTCATTCAATTTACAGTGCCAATTGCTAACAATACCAAAATGAGTAGATATTTTCTGTCCTCAATCTTTTCACCATTTTGGTGAAGAAAACAGATAAAGATATATTTAAAAAAACCAAAACAGCATATGTGCAAGAGTAAATTTTATTGAGAGGATACTCATTTGAAAGATTCAGCCATCCATTCTATTAACAATTTGTTAAATGGCTGGTATGGGTTGAGTATTACAAAATTTCCTAAGAGTACAAAATTTCCTAAGAGTAGAATTTAAATGTATTCACCAATAAATAAATAAATAAATACAGTGAATATGTGAGGTGAGAGATGTGTTGTGTCCCCCACTCCCAAATTCATCTGTGCCATATAATGCCGGAAGCCGGTCCATCCTTGCTGCTTGACACAGTCGCTGCAGGAAAGAAACATCTGCACAGTATATGTTTCAAGGGACCTGGCGTATATAGCATACTGTTCTTAATATGTTTGCTCCCCTTAGTGCTATGTGTTTTAACCAAGGTCACCTCTCTGAGAAAGGTTGTTTCCCCAGGTGGGGATTTTTCCCTGAGGTTAGGGAGGAGATACAACCCCTTAATTAAGTGCCAGGCGGGTAGTTAATCACTTTAACTATGAACAATCACCCTTAAGCTACATAATCTTTACTCCCTGGAATGGAGATAAGAAACGCCCTAACCTTTGTAATAGAAATTGACAGGATTAAAATCGGCTGGTATAAATATGAAGGTAATCAGACAGTAAACATCAGATCCTCTGATCAGTTCCTAACCAGAACTCTGACCAGAACTTTGGCTGGAGATCCTGGCTAGAGGTCCTGACTAGGCTGCTGATCAACTGAACGCTGTCTTCGTGTCATTCCTTCTTCGCCGACTCCGTCCACACCTTTGGGGACCCCTGGACCTGCTGGGGTTGGACTCCAGCATCTGGCGCCCAATGTGGGGCACGAACCCACGACCCTGAGATTAAGAGTCTCACGCTCTACCGAGGTGAGCCCCCAGCGTGCGTGGAGGCATCAGCGGTTCTAGAACGTTGCTGTGGTAGCGCTCAGGTGCCATGTTAGGACGAGGGGGAAGGAGGAGAAGCGCTTAAAGCCGCGGGAGCGGGTGCGGGAGTGGGGTTGGACGCTGGGCTGCAGTAGGCCCCCCCCTCCCTCCCGCCTCAGTGGATCATGCCCAGGGCGGCAGCGGCGGTGGTTGCAGGGGGAATGCCTGCGCAGGAGACGATGCCATTTCCAGTTACAATGCAGGGATCACAGCAAACACAGCCGCCACAGAAGCACTATGGCATTACCTCTCCTATCAGCTTAGCAGCCCCCAAGGAGACCGACTGCCTGCTTACACAGAAACTAATTGAGACTCTGAAACCCTATGGGGTTTTTGAAGAAGAAGAGGAACTGCAGCACAGGATTTTAATTTTGGCAAAATTAAATAACCTGGTAAAAGAGTGGATACGAGAAATCAGTGAAAGCAAGAATCTTCCACAATCTGTAATTGAAAATGTTGGAGGAAAAATTTTTACATTTGGATCTTACAGATTAGGAGTACACACAAAAGGTGCCGATATTGATGCGTTGTGTGTTGCACCAAGGCATGTTGATCGAAGTGACTTTTTCACCTCATTCTATGGTAAGTTGAAATTACAGGAAGAAGTAAAAGATTTAAGAGCTGTTGAAGAGGCATTTGTGCCAGTTATCAAACTGTGTTTTGATGGGATAGAGATTGATATTTTATTTGCAAGATTAGCACTACAGACTATTCCAGAAGACTTGGACTTACGAGATGACAGTCTGCTTAAAAATTTAGATATAAGATGCATAAGAAGTCTTAACGGTTGCAGGGTAACCGATGAAATTTTACACCTAGTACCAAACATTGACAACTTCAGGTTAACTCTGAGAGCTATCAAACTGTGGGCCAAACGCCACAACATCTATTCCAATATATTAGGTTTCCTCGGTGGTGTTTCCTGGGCTATGCTAGTAGCAAGAACTTGCCAGCTTTATCCAAATGCAATAGCATCAACTCTTGTACATAAATTTTTCTTGGTATTTTCTAAATGGGAATGGCCAAATCCAGTGCTATTGAAACAGCCTGAAGAATGCAATCTTAATTTGCCTGTATGGGACCCAAGGGTAAACCCCAGTGATAGGTACCATCTTATGCCTATAATTACACCAGCATACCCACAGCAGAACTCTACGTACAATGTGTCCGTTTCGACACGGATGGTCATGGTTGAGGAGTTTAAACAAGGTCTTGATATCACAGATGAAATTTTGCTGAGTAAGGGAGAGTGGTCCAAACTTTTTGAAGCTCCAAACTTCTTTCAAAAGTACAAGCATTATATTGTACTTCTAGCAAGTGCACCAACAGAAAAACAACGCCTAGAATGGGTGGGCTTGGTGGAATCGAAAATTCGAATCTTGGTTGGAAATTTGGAGAAGAATGAATTTATTACACTGGCTCATGTGAATCCCCAGTCATTTCCAGCACCCAAAGAAAATCCTGACAAGGAAGAATTTCGCACGATGTGGGTGATTGGATTAGTGTTTAAAAAAACGGAAAACTCTGAAAATCTCAGTGTTGATCTCACCTATGATATTCAGTCCTTCACAGATACAGTTTACAGGCAAGCAATAAACAGCAAGATGTTTGAGGTGGACATGAAAATTGCTGCAATGCATGTAAAAAGAAAGCAACTCCATGAACTACTACCTAATCATGTGCTTCAAAAAAAGAAAAAGCATTCAACAGAAGGTGTCAGATTGACACCTCTGAATGAGAACAGCCTCGACTTGTCTATGGACAGTGATAACAGCATGTCTGTGCCTTCACCTACTAGTGCTATGAAGACCAGTCCATTGAACAGTTCTGGCAGCTCTCAGGGAAACAGTCCTGCTCCAGCTGTGACAGCAGCATCTGTGATCAACGTCCAGGCCGCCGAAGTTCCTGCGCCACAAGTGGATTCCAGTGAAAGCTCAGGGGGCAAGGGAATTGGTTTGACAGGTACATCGAGCGAGAGCATTCCTCAAACTGCCACACAGCCAGCCATTTCATCACCACCAAAGCCTGCGGTCTCCAGAGTGGTTTCTGCAACACGCCTGGTCAACCCACCACCACGACCTTCAGGAAATGCAGCAACAAAAATACCTAGTCCCACGGGAGGGGTCAAGAGGAAATCCTCACCTCACAGAGAAGAAAATCCCAAGAAAATCAAAACAGAAGAGGAACAACTTGATACAGAGACAAGTACAACTCAATCAGAGACTGTTCAGACAGCGGCTTCTCTGTTGGCCTCTCAGAAAACATCCAGTACAGACCTTTCTGATATCCCTGCTCTCCCTGCAAATCCTATTCCTGTTATCAAGAATTCAATAAAACTGAGATTGAATCGGAAAAAAAAACACACAAAAAAACGTTGGGCGCCAGATGCTGGAGTCCAACCCCAGCAGGTCCAGGGGTCCCCAAAGGTGTGGACGGAGTTGGCGAAGAAGGAATGACACGAAGATAGCCTTCCGGCAATAGAACATGACTGTGTTTGGAGATAGGATATTTAAAGAAGTGATTAAGTTAAAATGAGGTCTTTAGGATAAACCCTAATCTAATATGACTGGTGTCCTTATAGGAAGAGGAGATTAGGACACAGACACGACAGAGGAAAGACCATGTGAGAACACAGCCATCTACAAGTCAGAGAGAGGCCTCAGAAGAAACCAACCCTACTGGCACCTTGATATCAAACTTCTAGCCCTCCCAAATTGTGAGAAAATAAGTTTCTGCTGTTTAAGCCACCCAGTCTGTAGCACTTTGTTATGACAGCCCTCACCAATTAATACAGAAGGTGTTCATAAGGCCAATACACACACAAACAGGTATTCTATCTCATTAGTCATCAGGGAAGTGCAAATGAAAACCAAGTAGCATACCACCACTGACCCACCAGAATGGCTAAAATCTAATTGTCTGACAATGCCAAACGTGTTAACTATTACTATAATTGTTAACTCAGTTAATAGATATTTATAAAACATTGTTGCTGGAAGCCAATTCCAGCATGCCATAATTGCAAGAGTTTCATCAAAAGGTTGATGGAACCTGGGGACTCAACAAGGGCTGCGTCACATATGTTATTGCCTGTTGGGAATGGCTGAAGGCATTTCCCCAAACCTGAAAAGGATGATTGCTTGCTGCCAGACAGCTCAGGGCATCTTAATCTACATGTTATTGCCTCCTACTGGCCAAACACCTGAACAGCCGAAGGCAGTTTCTCCAAAACCTGACAATGGATTCTGTACAAACCCTACCCTTTGATGTGTATATCTCTACCTCGCCTTAGGACAAATCTACACTAATAAAAGACAAACATGCAAATTGACCGTACCTTTGCTACACCTTAAGCCACACCCACCAGCCAATCAGAGCGACTATATGCAAATTAACCCAACCAAGATGGCGGCCAGCAGCCACGGAGCTGGAGCAAGCAGGAGACTTGGTTGTCCCAATGATGGAGGAAGCCAAGCTTGCTGCGGCGGCTCTGAGCTCCACTCAAAGCAAGAAAGTTTCAATTATAGAAGGTAAGTAAATCCTAAATCCCACAATAAAAAAAGAAAAAAGGGAGAAGCTGGGAGCTTCCGTCGCTGGGGGGCATTGGCCAGCCTGAAAACGGCCCTCAGCCCCTCACCCAGACTGGCCAGGCACCCCAGTAGGGAGCCCCCACCCTAAAGGGGGTGTGGCCAGCCTGAAAACAGCCATCAGCCCCTCACCTAGGCTGGCCAAACCTCCATGGGGTGAGGGTCCCCACTGGGGGTGGGGGGCTTGGCCAGCCTGCAAACACCCATCAGCCCCTCACCCAGGCTGGCCAGGCACCCCAGCAGGACCCCCACCCTGATCTGGGACACCCTTCAGGGCAAACCAGCTGGCCCCCACCCATTCACCAGGCCTCTAACCTATATAATAAAAGGATAATATGCAAACTGACCCTAACAGCAGAATGACTGGGAATGACTGGTCACTATGACACACACTGACCACCAAGGGGCAGACGCTCAATGTAGGAAATGGACTGGTGGTCAGTGCGCTCCCACAGGGGGAGCTCTGCTCAGCCACAAGCCAGGCTGATGGCTGCCAGTACAGCGGTGGTGGTGGGAGCCTCTCCCGCCTCCTCAGCAGTGCTAAGGATGTCCGACTGCAGCTTAGGCCTGTTCCCCGCTTGCAAGTGGACATCCCCCGAGGGCTGCCGGGCTGCCAGAGGGATGTCTGACTGCCAGCTTAGGCCCAATCCCCCGGGAAGCGGGCCTAAGCCAGCAGGTGGTCATCCCCTGAGGGATCCCAGACTGTGAGAGGGCACAGGTCCCCCTGAGTGCACAAATTTTTGTGCACCAGGCCTCTAGTGGTGTTAATAAAAAGCAAGGGGTCCTGAGACAAGGAGAACTTAGTTCCTTTAGCTAAGTCTTCTCTGACTCCCTAATGCCTTTCAAAATTATGTTTCATCTCTGGACTCCTATTTAATTTATGCACAGCCCCTTCTCCAGATTTCTGAACCCTTCTAGATCCCGGAACAAGAACCCCAGCACATTGTCCCAGGAACCATTCTAGAGAAAGGGGCCACAAAGATAAACAGGACAGACAGTGTCCCCACCCACCTTGAACTTATGGTCCAGGAGGGAGGACAGACAACTAAACTCATTAACAGAAATAATATGCACTAAGTGCTATAATTGTGAAAATAAGATGCTTTGGGGGCACACAGCTAGAATATCTAGCCTAACATCCGAGTAAAATCAGTGGCCGTAAAGGAGATAGGTAAGCATTTCAGGGCCCTTCTAAAGAGTTGGACTGAGATACATAGGCCCCTCAGCAGGCTAATACCTGATACTCCTTCAGGGAGAGGGTTTTCAAATAACTGTTCAACCTCTGTTCAGAGATGCTGCTGAGTCTGTTTGGAAGAAGAGCAGAGCAGGACCACGGGGTTTGTTCCTACCACTCACAGCCGTCCTGTGCTGGCCACAAACCCCTCAGAACAGAAGCCAGCACTCAGGCTGGCTTCGAGAGTGTGTGACTTGTGCAGCTGCTCAGGCCCCAAGCTTAGAAGAACCCCGTGCTTCGTTTAGTTCTCTGCTGTCACCTTCTTGAAATCCTTAATAATTTTTGAAAAGGTGGTCCCACGTTCCCATGTTGCAGGAGGCTTTTTAATTTGTGTAGCTGGTCCAGCCTAAGTACATTTGCAATCCTTAAAGGGCAATTTAGCGTGCTCCTTGGGAGTTTCATAGGACCAGGATTGTTGTAAATGCAGACACTCTGGGCCTACTCCAGCCCCACTGAGTCAAAATCTGCATTTTAAAAGTTCCCCTGGCAATTTAAGCATATGAAAGTGTATGAGAAGTGTTCACTGAGAACACCTCATGCCCCCTATGTGCTGAGAGTAGAGCTAACCCTACAGGCCCTGACTCCTCTGATGAACACATGACTCGGCCTGGCCAATGAGAATTCCCCGGTAACAGTGATTAATTAGTTTAGAAATAAGCATGTTACACTGGTTATGCCAAGCATTGTAAATATTGAAATTTGTGTAGGAATGACTCAGCTGAGACCTTCTCCCACCCCTCCACCCCCCCCCCGCCCCGAAACTGCTAGCTGTAATAGTGACTTGAGTCTGGAGTTGTGGCCACCATACACCATACAAAGCCTGCAAATGAAACCAACACTGCAGAAGCCAAGAGATGGGGAGAAATTGCCATCTGGATGTCATAGCCTTAGCTTCCAGGTCAAGGTGTGCTTGTAGTTAAAGCTAAGCCTGGTTTTTTTAATTACTTGATCCAATAAATTCCTATTTTCATTTCAGTTCATTTGAGTCAGGTTTTCTTCTCTTTGGTCCAAAAGAGACCAGATAGGTAAAAAAAAAACTCCTGTTCTTGTTTACATGAAGTGACCCTCAGAGGTAGAGAGGTCTGGTTTGCTGTAATCATAGGTACACAGCAATAGATGCACTTTTCACTTGAACTATCCAGTTTGGTTATCGAGTTGCAGAAATTCACTGGATAATTACCAAATTTTCACTTTGTTTTACTTTAAATGATATACTAGTTCTGGATCAAAAATACTATTTTCTCTTTGCTTGTGTTTCTCTGCTGTTTCTTTCTTTTTTTTTTTAATATATTTTATTGATTTTTTACAGAGAGGAAGGGAGAGAGATAGAGAGTTAGAAACATCAATGAGAGAGAAACATCGATCAGCTGCCTCCTGCACATCTCCTACTGGGGATGTGCCCGCAACCCAGGTACATGCCCTTGACTGGAATCGAACCTGGGACCTTTCAGTCGCAGGCCGATGCTCTATCCACTGAGCCAAACCGGTTTCGGCTCTCTGCTGTTTCAATACATGCAATTCCACTGTAGCTCTTACTGGACGACCAGTCAATTCCAATGTGTAATAATATGTTTCCTTCTGGGGTGTAACTTCCTTAGGCGGTTCACTGAGCCAACAATGCTAAGAATGGAACCCTCCTGTTTTCACATCAGGAGTAAATAGCTGAAAGCATTTCTCTAACAAAAGCCCGCCCTTTCTCCCATGTTCATTACCTCCTTTAATTGTTGCTTAGGTTCCCCAAGGAAATGATTAACCAAGCTTTTTCTTTAAGACAACATCTGAGTCCCTTTTCCTTCAAAGCATTCCAAACCATGTTTTATTTATCTCTGGCGACCTGGTAGGTAGCTCAGTGCCCTGATTAAGTATTTTCTTAACGTGTACTTGTTGATTTCTGTTAAATTAAGTCTACACACACTCATAAGCAGGCTAAGGGTATAAAGTTTAAGATTACAAATCTAGCTCGAATGTGAACCATTAGAGCTGGAGGGGACTGAGAGACCCGCTGAACTCTTTTATTAATCTGTCTCCCTCCCTTTATCTCTCTAAGAAATAAAACAGTGTAAATATAATTAAAGCCAACCCTACCCTACTCTTCCTTCTCCCTCCCACTAGAGCAGTGGTTCTCAACCTTCCTAATGCTGTGACCCTTTAATACAGTTCCTCATGTTGTGGTGACCCCCAATCATAAAATTATTTTCGTTGCTACTTCATAACTGTAATGTTGCTACTATTATGAATCGTAATGTAAATATCTGATATGCAGGATGTATTTAGGCGACCCCTGTGAAAGTGTCGTTCACTGCCAAAGGGGTCGCGACCCACAGGTTGAGAACCGCTGCACTAGAGGTAAGCTCTGGTGAAGTTGGTGTATATTAATCCAGTGCATGTTTTTGTACTTTTATCATGTATTTTAGTGTCTGAAAATTTACATTAGTGGAATCATATGAATGTATCCTTTTGCACTATGCTTCCCCCCCTCCCCCCCCTGCACTCTTATATTTTTTAGTTTATCCCCGTTGATATGTG